AAAAAAAAAAAAAAAAAAAAAAAAAAAAAACGAAGAACGAATTCGCAGTAAGAATTCCCCTACCGGAAAATCGCTGAAACTACGAGATTAAAACAGTATCGAACGGAAAAACAGAGAGAAAAATCATAATGGAAAGAAAAAAGAAGAAGAAATTGAGAGACCCTTTCAGTTATACAAAGCGATGAACTGTTCCCTTCCCACTCCCTCTGATACTTTGCCACCAAGGTAGCAAGGATGGAGACTCCAAGGATCCCATACGGCAGTGCTCACAGTAATTAATTCCAATCTTAAAATCTATTGGTCCACGTCATTAATATTCCACCTCCCCATTACGTGGCGGGTGAATACGTTTTGTTTAAAATATTTTAGGGCGTATTCTGTCATCGTCTCTCGCAATCCCATGCAGTTGTAAAAAATTAAAAGCTGGAATAAAAATGAATTCGAAAATTGCGTGATCTACTGGGTGAAGGTGCATAATACCATTTATGGGGATCTTTTCAATTAGGATAAAATTTGGTAGCTGATTTTTTTTTGCAATTAATAAAAATATATTGTCAATATAAATAAGCCTAAATATATTATTTACTTCTTTATCTAATTTTATATTAAGAATGTTCGTGATTTGATTAACAAATATTAAAATACAAAAATATTTGCGCTATGTTTTTTTTTCATAACTTAATGTAATAAAAATATTATTATTTTTTAAATTATATAACTTATAGAATGATAAATCACTTTATTATTTAGAGAAATATATATGTAATTTAATTTAGTTAATTTAATATTTTAAAATTTAATAATTGTATTTTCAATAATTTTTTAAAATATGGTAAGTCCAACTAAATTTAACATTATTCTTAATTCTCTAAACACGTTTTCTCTTATGAGTCTGTCTTTTCCATTGTCCCAATTAGGTATAAATCACTTTTTTTTTTTTTGTTATGTCTTGTCTTTTCGAGAACGAGAATCATTTTTATAAAATTATAGCAAAATAGAATTCATGACTTAATTTTATGGAAAAAAAAAAGATCTTGAAACAGATTCTGAGAACGAACGGGAAAAAATTCGCGTTGAGTACAATCAAATTAACCTAATTCTCCTTACTATTGATTGCATTGATTCTCATTACGATTGAAGTTCATTTGTAAACGTGACCCTATCCAAGAAAGGAAAAAGAGAATAAATTTCGAACTCAGCAACTCCTTTTCAAGCAACAAAAACAAAAAATAGAAACTTCTGCTGACTCACCATCTTTTTTTAGCCACGTGGGATTCACTGTCTTCTTTCCCAGGTAGGGGATAACAGGCTTATAACAGCAGGCAGCTATCAATTCCTTCGCATGCATGTGAAAAGTGTCCTCTTTTTCTTTTCTTTTCTATTTGATTTAACGAAAACATACACACACACACACACGCACATAACAAGAACAATCTGAGAATATACCATCCAACGCCATGGCCTGGTTCAGGAATCTCAGGCAGCTTTCACCCACCACCATCCCCCCACCACTCAAATCCACAACGCCCTCCTTCACCTTCCTCCTCTCACATTTTAGCTCTCAGCCCATGGAGGTGCCGCCGCCGGGCCTCAGCCCCACGGTGCCTGGCCAGAAGCCGAGGGTAGTGGTTTTAGGATCTGGCTGGGGAGGCTGCAGACTGATGAAGGGCTTGGATACCACCATATACGACGTTGTTTGTGTTTCCCCTCGCAACCACATGGTCTTCACCCCTCTTCTCGCCTCAACCTGTGTTGGAACTCTCGAGTTCAGGTCCGTTGCCGAACCAATCGTCCGGATCCAGCCTGCCATCTCTCGCGAACCGGGTTCATATTTCTTCCTTGCTAATTGTACTGGCATTAACCCTGAAGAACATTCGGTATAATTCTCACTTCTATCACAGTTTCATGTAACTTAAAAAAAAAAAAAAAAAAAAAATCCTCAAATTTTTCTCAAATCCCACTGGTTTTGGAATTTGAATCGAGTAAAGTGAGAAGGAGATTGTTTAATTTGTTATTGAAGGTACAATGTGAGACTGTTACTGATGGATTGAACACTCTGGAGCCACGGAGGTTTAAGATATCATATGATAAGTTGATTATAGCATTAGGATCCCAGCCACTAACTTTTGGGATTCATGGTGTCAAAGAACATGCCTTCTTTCTTCGTGAGGTTTCTCATGCCCAAGAAATTCGTAGAAAGCTGCTATTGAACTTGATGTTGTCCGATGTTCCAGGTACAAACTTGATTGATTAAAATAACTGGCCAATAGGAGTTTTTTCGTCTTCCTTTTCGTGTTTTTTAGTGAACATAATTTGGAGTGTTTGTCATTGGAAGGGATCTCTGTGCAAGAGAAACGCCGGCTTCTACATTGTGTTGTTGTTGGAGGAGGTCCAACTGGAGTTGAATTCAGTGGGGAGCTTTATGACTTTATCATAAAGGATGTTAGTCAAAGATATGCTCACGTGAAAGATTGTATCCAAGTTACTTTGATTGAGGTTTGTAAAATGTTGATCCGACAACATGTCTCGGTTTCTCGACGTTTTGGCTAGGTTGTTAAGCTTATGATATCTCTGGATATGAAAGAACCAACATTAGGTTATTGGATATGTTTTCAAGACTTGAGAGGGGATTCACTTGCTTGTGTTTGTTTAATTGTTTAACAGGCAAATGAGATATTATCTTCCTTTGACGCTCGCCTCCAACGCTATGCTACTAACCAATTGACAAAGGTAGGAAAGTTAATACATTATAGGTTTCAGCTTTCCTAAGATGCTTCAAATTTGAGATTCTTCGATCTCATTTGTTCGAATCTCTCGACTCTCAGTCAGGAGTTCAAATTGTACGGGGAATCGTCAAAGATGTTAAACCTCAGACCATCTTTCTCAAAGATGGCTCTGAGATTCCTTATGGATTGTTAGTTTGGTCTACTGGCGTTGGTCCCTCTCCTTTTGTAAATTCCTTGGAAGTTCCTAAGTCTCCTGGTGGCAGGTAAGTTAAAATTTTATCAGTAACTTATCCAAAATGTTTATTTACCTCTCAGATTTCATAACTTTCAAGCAATCGTTTCATAAATGTCTCTGCAAGTTTCCTTCTAAGATAGGCAAATTGTTCAGAAACCAGGTGGGGATTTAGGGAAAGTCACCATCTTCTCTGGCTCACTAACCTTGAGGCCTAAAAAAGTTTTAGTTTCAACTTTCTATCCCATAAGAATATAGTTATTTCTTTCTGCTCACATTCAATCTACTTCGGCCCGATCCTTCGCTTGATATCGCAAGCTTTAATCAGATCATGGGATCCTCATACTTGTGATCAAGGCTTCCTATTTATGCTTTATTTTCTATTATCAGTCCTAACATTGCTAGTGAGATGATCTACCTCTGGCTACATTGGCAGGATCGGTATAGATGAGTGGTTACGTGTTCCTTCTGCGGAAGATGTGTTTGCAATAGGTGATTGCAGTGGGTTCCTAGAGAGTACAGGCAAACAAATTCTTCCAGCTTTAGCTCAGGTAAGTTAAGATACTAATGAATATTCTGGTTTTTTTGCTCATTCAAAAAATGCAATTTCCTATTCCAATAGTAGATACTGTTGCCAAGAGATGTCAAGTTTTTGTTGCAACCACTTTTGCATTATGAAGGTAGCAGAGCGTCAAGGCAAATATTTAGCAGCCTTGCTGAATAAAGTTGGTAAAGAAGGTGGGGCACGAGCAGGTAGCGCAAAAGACTTAGATCTTGGAGAACCATTTGTCTACAAGCACCTAGGAAGTATGGCAACTATTGGAAGATACAAGGCTCTTGTTGACCTTAGGCAGAGTAAAGTAAGCAATTGATCGAGATGGCTCCTTCACTTACTCTATTTTGTAAATTTTTAGGTGGCTTACTAGTGAGCGTTTTCTACAGGCAGCAAAGGGGTTATCCATGGCAGGGTTCGTCAGTTGGTTTGTTTGGCGTTCGGCTTATTTAACCCGAGTCATAAGCTGGAGGAACAGATTGTATGTGGCTGTGAACTGGGCAACAACTTTCATCTTTGGTCGTGATATAAGCAGAATTTAGATTTAGAAGTAAGAGTTCGCAAAAGAACAAAAAGAATAAAAGAATGTTTCCAAGTTGGACCTCACCGATCATCATTTTAAGTTCAGTAGTACCAAAAGTTGCAAGTTGTTCACCAAGACAATAACATCTTGCTGCATGAGATCTGCAGCCGAATTATCAGATTCTTCTGGGTTCACATGAAGATCTGAATAATGGCTGTCATACTGCAATTTCTCAGCAGAAGCTCACAGTTCAGTTTATTTCAATCAAACTGTTATTGGGTTAAATCCAAACCATACTATTGTATATGTTGATAGAAACTAAAATAAAGCCAATCATTGGTATTATAAGCTTTGTACTGAGACTTCAATCAGTACTTTTCAACGGAATTATTTCATTAGCCATTATTTCAATTTATATGACTAATTGGATTATCCCAACAAGACAATGCAAAAACTACCATACTGAATTATTAATATCTCTGCTGCTAGAAAAAACATACCGGATGTGACGAAATTTTACTGCCATGCTCTTCAACAAGCAACTCAACTGCGTATGAAACTTTCCCACCTATTGTTTACAGAACACCTGAATAAGAGAAAGCAAGAGGAAATGAGTTTGATTCTTTTGGAAAATAGAATCATTTCTAAAAATGTACATAAAAGTTCAGTACCAGTTCATCATTGAAGACAATTTCAAAGCCTTCAGTGTTCTGGAGGTGATTTATAGTTATGCAGCCCAAGAGGCCAAGGGATTGCAATGATAAAAAATGATAAAAGAATCTGTCTGCGGAGAAAAATATGTTTATCAGCCATCACTGTCATTATAATCAATATTTGTGCAGTTGATATAGGTTTCGACGCAATAGAATTGGCTGAGCCGGAGGATAATGAGAAAGAGTAACAATGATTCCAGGAAAATGTTCCTGCACCAGCAACTTAATCGACATGGAGGTCACTCTGCCAAAACATGATGAAGAGCAATGAGCTTTCATTAAAGGAGGGTAAAAAGAGGCAGACAATCACAGAGATTCTAAGGCTAAATACACACTAAAATTCTTCGATCATACTATTCTTTTCTCTCAGTGTGAGACTATAATGTCTAGCGACGGATGAGCTCAATCGAAGTAAGATACACACTAAAATTTTCATCCAGTTTTAGGAGAAAATGTCAAGGATAAGAAAGAATGATGAAAGAACACAGTCCATCTCTTTTCTCGGAATGAATCATCAAAGTATGCAGTAAAATCCGGTCATTAAGATGATGATCTGTTTCCGAGAGACGCAGATTTCCCCTAATTTAACAAGCATTAGTGAAATTCCACCATCCAAGAACCAGATTTCGCTGGAAATGAATTGATCATAACTTCGACTTCAACAAACTCCACAGATTAAGCAAAGAACAAAGAATCAGACTCGCCAAGTGCACGATTGATCATCATAAAAAATAAAAATAAAAAGCGAAAGCCTCAAAAGATAATTAATATAACATAGTTTCTAAAATGAAATGTAACCTATCAGAGCACGGAGAGCTAAGTCTGGTGAGATCGTATCTCTCTGTCTGATTCAAACTCTACATTTGCGTCTGAATGAAACTGGCCGCAAGCGTCTGATTCAAGTTGTTGCCGCTCAAGTGATTATGATAAACAAGATAACCTGATCGTTGGATGAAAGTCACACGTTGGCTAATTTAGGGAAGGATCAATGTATTTATAACCAATGAATACTCTTTCGAATGGAATGAGACCTTTCGCAAAGCCATAAGAGTTTATGTTTAAAGTGTACAATATCATACTATTGTGAAGCAAAGCTAGCTTATGCTCAAAGTAAACAATATCATACTATTGTGGAAAGTCGTGTTCAACTAACACTAATGACATCGGAGGTAGAGTAAAAATGGAATCTTAGATATCGAAACAGATAACTGAAGCACCAGAAATGCAAGAACCAATATTCCTTGATCCATTTTTCTTTTCTTTTGCCAATCTTATGTAGCTTCAAAATTGGACAACCGAAGAAAAAAGATGAAGAATAGAGAATTATTCACGACCATTTATTATTATCCTTTTGAAATTACTCGTAGTTTTTTCAATTTTAAATTCGGTTACAAAATCAGCCCATCAAAATAGAAATTATTGAGTCATAAGTTGAAGCAGAGAAAATAGATGAAATTAGAGAAGTAAATGATTTATGAAATATAAATAAATCATCTACCTATCATCCACTAAATCTATGGGATCCAATGTAAGTTTTTTTTTTAATTTTAGTGTATTGATAGTATTTTTTAAAAGATGATTATTAAAGACTTGGGGAGAAAGCTCGAAAAGGAAAATACAGAAGACCCAGAGGATAATATTTGCTAGCGGTGAGCTGGGCGTTACAGATGATATCAGAGCCAAACACCGGACTATGTGGCAGCGAGGAGGTTGTTCCTAAAGGGGTAGACACGAGACAGTGTGCCATAAGGATGCCGACCCCAAAGGGGTGGATTTGGTAGGGATCCAAGAGTACCAACGAGGACGGAGGATACTGGACCGTGAAGGGGTGGATTGTGAGAATCCATATTGATTAGGGAGGAGAATAAATTACTCTTTACAAAGGGTGTGAAAACCCTCCCTTAGTAGACGGGTTTTTTTCCCTTGACGGAAAACCCGAAAAAAAAAACCGAAAGAAAAAATTCAGAGAAGACAATATCTGCCAGCGACGGTATGGACCGTTTAAAAGTGTATTTTTTAAAGATTTTGGAGGTGTTTTTCATGAACTCAAAAAGTTTGAAGGAGTTGCACTGCAAAAAGAATGGTCTTTGTTGAGTTATATTGGATATCCACCTGCTTTCTTTTTCCAGTGCTCTTTCCACTACCAACACCATTAAAAATAATAATAATAATAATAAAAAAAAAAAGTAGAAAAGAAATATTGGCTTTTTGTGAGTGCTCCATAATCCCTCTCCTGCTAATTAAAGCTTTGAATATCACCTCAATAATTCCAGTTCTTAATAATCATTTAATATCAGTTATTCTTCACATGAAACAACTAGTAGTTATGGAATGGGCAGAAACATTCCTTCTCCCCAATCTTGATGAATTTCAATGATGTAAATATATGTATATATATAGATTAAATGATCAGAATATAACCCGTTAAATCGAAGCGAAAAGAAAAAAATGTGGCCGAACCCCGGAGCTTAAGCGACCAGCTGCTTCTGTTCCATGTACAGCTTTGAATCCCCATTGTCGATATGACAAAGCTGCTGCTCGTCCATGCTCAACTGCACGGAGTTCTCGGTCGGAGCATCGTTCACCAGGGACTGAACCCAGGAGACGTCTGGCTTGGAAGAAGTAGCGTGCATTGCAGGTGTTGCGAGGGAATTACTTCGTAGCCCGAATGATGCAGACTTTCTTAACTTGGTGAGTTCTTCTCCGTGAATTCCCCAGTCTAGTTTTCCGTTGGGCGAACCCCAATCAGGGAAGTTCGAAGGCGTGACGGTTGTAGATGTAGCTGGAGGTGAATGTCCAGAATGACGGTTCACTACACCGCGTTCGATAAAGCTGTGGCTGCGCTTGGCAAAAGCAGCAGCCCTGGAACTCAGAAGGCTTTCTGCAGCAGACACAGATGAGTCATGGCCAAATGGTTGAGATGACCTTGCAGGAGGAGATCCAATGCTGTTAGCATAGTTTGATAGGAATGACTGGTTCAGGCTCTGGCGCATCCCGGACGGGGATTGCACGGAATCGAGCGAGAGTCCTTGTAATTGAGGGAAGAGTGCGGGATCTACCGATGATCCGTAAATGTTCTCGAGGTTAGTAGGATTCATGCCTCCGAGCCCGTTCAATTCTCCATTTCTACTCCTTGGAGATGGAAAAGATGTAGGGGTTGGTATGCCATTGTTCCATCTGGAAGGGGAAGGTAGACACGATAACTCATCCATAAACTGTTGCTGTCTACGTCGCTGACTTTCGAGACCGAGTAACTCGGCATCTAAATCCATGTCTCTTGCACTCAAAGCAGCCTTCAACCGGCTACCCGGAAGCTGCAACGTCGGAGGCGCAATATTACATTGAGTCTGCCACATGGTTCCACCCAGCGGAGAAGAAACTCCAGGAGTCAACGGCGGAGTCGATGACGGAGAACCAAGGGTAAGCAGGCTGATTGATGGAATGTCTAGTGATGAACCAGAGATCGATCTTGGGGACAGTACAGCAGAACCAGTCGAAGCATACAAGGGGCGTAGCTCCTCTGGTTTGTGAGCAAAGAAACAGACCTTTCGGGTGCATCCCGTTTCGTCCTTGCAAAGACGGGTGCGGTATTGAGCAGGATGGAGCCAACATTCAAAGATTCCATGAGCATATTCACAGGCATCCCCCTGCCTACATGCGCCCTTTCTAAATTCGGGACACGGGACGCAGCTGTAATGATATTTCCTAGGATCCCGCCTTCTTGCGTTTTCGCCAGGGTGAACAAACGGGCACTCCGTCCAATCATGGGAGTAAGCTCTTGTACAAGGTTTAATCTTAAAAGTATACATTCTAAACTCATCTGTACTATAAATCCCATTCTTGATGTCGGGAAGCGAGTGATCAACTGGATACTCTTTCTTCTCCGTTCCATCTCTCAAAACACGAGGCGTCAAAACCTCCCGTGCCTCCTGTGTTTCCCTCTCGTAAAAAATCATCTCAGATGAACCAAGAACGTCCTCGTCGTTACCATATCCCTTTAGCAACTGTTGTAATGCCTTCCTCCTCGAATACAAAGACGCCAAAGTAAAATCAGGAGCAATCAAGTCACCAGGCCGGTAGCCATTCGCATCGACAACATTCACATCAGCAAAAGCATCAAGCAAGTATTTGACAACCTGATCAGCAACAGCAGAACCACCAGCAACAGCACAATGGAGAGCAGTTGCACCATCCGAACCGCAAGCTCGATTAACATCAACACGACCACTATGAACGATATACGAAAGGACATTCAAGCTCCCAAACATGGCTGCAACCATAAGAGGGGTTCGTTCTTCATATCCCATCTTTTTGGAACCAAAAACTCTCCCATACCACAAACTTGCTTCATCAATATCATGACCATCTTCCTCAACAGCACTCCTAAATCCAATCAGATCATCCGTGGCCGAAAATTCGAGCAAAACCGATATACAAAACCCCAGATTTCTATTGCAACCATCCATCATGAAGTTGGGGCTTACAGAATTGCTATTACAACCATTGCACACCATAATCAATTCGGTCTAAGAACTCCAAATTTCTACAGAAATATAATTCACAAGAATCTATTCAGAAACACAATCAGAAATCGCTTATAAGAACAAAAAAGAACAAAACAACAAAGGGTATTTAACAAATTCAAGTAAAAAACGAAAACAGAACAAACATTACAACACCCAACAAGAAAAACGACACAACAAAAACAACCCCTGTTTGGTTTTACAGGTAAAACAGATAACATCCAGAAACCGAAAAGCTGTCCCAACACAGAAAACACACAGAATTAGATGAATTACTTGAAGACAACGAAGGATTAAGCTAAAAACTAAGAACCCATTTCAAAATCAAAGACAAAGTTGTGAAACCGCTGCGATTTGAAGAAAATTACCTCGTAAGAAACGAAAAAGAACAGAGAGCGGGAATAGGGTGGTTTCTAAACTAAGCTTTTAGCTATGGAAGAAAGTAGACTTTTCTTCCTTTGCTCTGTCTCTCTTTTATTAGGTTGTAGAGTCAAATAGACCAACCTACTTCTCTGCATAAGCCAAAGCCCTCTGGTCTCCGCCACCGTCCTCTTCAAACTCTCTCCTTTTTTCTTTTTCTTTTTCTTTTTCTTTTTTTAATTATATTTTAGTTCTTGTCGTCTTCGTCTTCGTTTTCCTCTCTGTGAAATGAAACTCAAATTCAATCCCAAATGAAATGCAACTCAAATTGCGCAAATTCAAAAAAAATAATAAAAATATAATTCTTGCGGGCCCCACGAATTCGATATCTTTTGAATCTTTTCGGTGCGCCACGTGTCGGTGTTTCAGTAGAGGAACTAGTATACCAAAGTCATCGTATCGATATTCCGGATCGTCGCGCATTACGCGTTTTTGGTCTGGGTCAATGACGTGGCGTTTTATACACCGTTACCTACAAAATGTTAAATTTTGATTTCTATCCTTGATTTATCTTAAATTCGAAATTTGGACCTCGATAAAAGTTAAAAATTAAATTGCAGTGATTTTAAAAAGTATTTTTTTTTTATCCATGTTAATAAAACTTCACCCATCTACAGAAGTTACTAATAAGTTGAGCATTTTGAAGGACAGAATTTGGAATAAATATTTATTAAATGGTAAATTTTAGGAAAAAATGCATACAATTTGAAATTTTGATATTTTTCGAAATCGCGACACATAAATGACCATCCAAAATTCCCAGCATCCCTACCCTATCTGATGGATTGGTTTGAAAAAATCAATCACTATGGGTATCGATAATTTTTTTGTCAACCTTTACATTTATTTGTCTATCACCGTCTAAAAACATTCACTCCCAACAGATCGACATTGAAAATCTATAAACTACTCTTGCCTTGTTTTATATTTGGTTTTTTATTCATCATTCCTCGATCACATAATGACACTTGTTTTTCTTAATTTTCACGTGGTTGGATAGACATCACTCGAAAATTGTTAAGCTTACTTGTCTCAATAGGAAGGTTATAATCTACTCTATTCAGTATAATTGTGACACAAGTGACGCTAAGAAGCTCCGACAATTTATCAGCTAAAATTCTTGTCTTGGTCTACGAAACTATGTCACGTTTGGGTTGGAGTGGTTAGGCGGAGCCCACCAGTCTTAATATTTAAATTATAATATCTTTGATTATTATTGAATAAAATTTGTTTTTTTTTTTTTTAAGTTCTGAATTTTGCACTCCCGTTTACAATCCGGTGTTTTTTTTTTTTGAGAAATTTTGATTAAAAAAAAGGGAAATAAAAAATTAGAACATCAAATAGTTCGTATTAACTGCAAAACACTGTTGCGTTTATTATCCACACGTGTGAAATGACTATCAACATTACTTGTTAAATTTAAATTTAAATTTAAATAATAATTAAAGTGATATTTAAATATTTATGTATATGCGTGTATTTACTCCTATTATTTATTATCGCCCCTTTTCCATCCTTACCCTTCCGGCCATTTCGTCCCCTTCCGAAGACTTTAGAGTCAAAACACACATGAAAAAAGTACACAACTTTATTCATAAAAAAAAAAAAAAAAGGTTAATTGTGTCATTTAATATATGGTCTATTTTATTTAATTTAGTTCTATTTTGACTAAATTAATAAAAATATTTTACATTTTACTTCAAAAATATTTTTAAATTTTTATTAAAATTTTAAAAATATCATTACTCTTAATTTTTAGAAGAAACAATTAGTATTTTATTTAAAATACTCTTAAACTTTTAATATTGTTTAAATAATATTTTTTTCATAAATATACTTAAGTTTTAAAAAAAATTAAATACTCGTATAAAAAATTAAAAGTAACATTCAAACTCTTAACATTTATTAAAAAATTTAAAAAAAAAATAGATCATCTCCAAACAGTAAAGGTATCAATATTTTTTTTGAAGTTTAAAAGTCTTTTAAAAAACTTTTTACATAGCAAATATTAATGGTTTATATTTATTATTAACCGTAAATGTATTTTAATTTTTTTTAAATTTATTAATATTTTTTTTAGACAAAATAAAAAATTTGGAAATATTTTTATTAATTTAACCTTCTGTTTTTTCACCAGATATTTATACACATTAGTTTTTATTAATTTATTTGAAATATAAATAAGAATTAAAGAAAAAAAAACTGTTTTTATTAATTTGTTTAATACCATATTTATTATTCAAATATGCATTAATTAATCACAACAAAATTAGTTAAAGATTTTAGAACATGTAATTTTTAATATAATATATATATTAAATAAGAAAAAGGGAAAAAATCTTTGATTAAGGAGCAAAGTAAGAGATAAAAGTTTCTCCCATTTAACCTAATTTTGTAATTTAATTATTTTAGAAACATTTTTTCTTTTATATAAATAAAACGGATAATTTTATAATGATAAATATTAAAAAAAAAAAAAAAGAAGAAAAAGCCGCCAAAATACTGTTCTCGGTCGTGGGTGGGCGGCGTCGAGTTTTATCTGACGATCAGCGTTGGATTGGGGTGCAGATAATGGACGGCTCAGATTAAGTTCCTTAACCACCAAGCTGCAGCGGTGCGCCTCCGATTTTGACCTACTGTCTGAGAAGTTGAAACCGGCGTCGAAAATTAAATGTTAAATAAATGTGATAGTGGGGCCCACCATAAATATCTTTAAAAAATAAAAATATTATATTTTATAGCATTTCATTTTCATGGGCTGCTGCTCCTGGTCTTTTTTTTTGTCGTTTAAAGTAATAAGATTATTTTTTTTCATAATTTTTTTATGTCATTATATATATATATAATTCACTCATTGTGTTATTTTTATTTAGAATTAATTGATCATATTTATCAAAAGTGGTGTTTTAATTTTAATATTATTTTTTATTTAGAATCTTATTAATTATGGGCCAATATGTGAGCAATTCAATAAGAACGTATAAAAATATTTTTTTAATAAATTTTCAAACAAAAATTTATTGAAATATAAAAATTGTATACTTTTCCAAATTTAAGATTGTGATGGCATAAAGTATAAATGGATGAATTTAAAAGTTAATGACTAAAACACACAAATAAATTTTTTTAAGTTTTTTTTCTTTTTCAAAACTTGATTTTTGACTGTTGTAGATAGCAAAACAATTAAATTATAACTAAATTAATATTTATAGTTAATACGAATAATTTAATTTTATATACATACACATTCATTCGAATTTTTTTAATATAAGTAATACTTTAATTAGTTAAACTATCTATACTTAATTATATTTATTTATTTTATATAATTCGTAAAATTATTTAAATTATTCAAATTAAAATTAGTGATGCATTTAAAATTGTTAAATAAAAGTTTTCATATGGTGGAAAGTAATTTTAAAATTGAATTAATCAATTTTGTCAAATTTCACACACAAATATATATTTTAATTATTCCAATTAATTTAAAATGATTAAGTATATTACAAATTAATTTTGACCAAATTGATTTAATAATTTTATAATTAATTCCAAATATGCTATAAAATTTGGTATAAAAAATCAATATGTATTAAAATGTCATGTCAGCAAATGATAATAAATAATTGGACAGCAGACAAATTTAAATTATTAGATTTAATTAAAATATTTATGTTTGGTAATTTATTAATGACGAATTAAAACCATTGAAATTAGTTTTCATATTAATTACTAGTTTCTATCATCTCCCCTGAAAAATAATTAAATAAATATGTTAATATAATATAAAATAATCATTATATTTGTATTATTTATATTTTTATTAAATATTACATACAAAAATAATATCTTGGTTAAAAAATAAAAAAAATATTAAATTATCTATCTTTTTATATTAAGTCTAAATCAATTTGTCCAACAAAAAGAAAAGAAAATTAATAAATCACTTTCAATAAAAAGTCAATAAATTAATAAACAAAAAAAGTCAAAATTAATAAATAATGAAGCCCAATGGGCCCAGTTTACCCACCTTATGGCCCACATTAGGTAACTTGGAAATGAGATTAGGCCTCGGAATGGGCTTGGACCTCGGAATGGGCCCAGTTTACCCACCTTTTGACTATTAAACTGAATAATTATTATTTTATATTATATTAACACACATCCATACATACATACATAAATACATGCCCATATGTCAATTTAACCTACTACATACATTAACACCTTCATATTCCAATGAGTTTAACGGTTTGGGCCTTGATTTGGGCCCATGGCCCAAACAATCCGGCCTAGCTAGTCAACCTTCTTGCTTCACCTCCTTTACTGCTCTGTTAAGCATCTCTGTAACAGCAATCCTACGGGATCCCAATCCAACGTCAGCTTCGTTTCCAGCGTCCGAATCCTGTGAACTTCTTCTTCTCAGGCTCTGCCAGTGTTTCGCTCAGTGCGGAATGAGGAACGTTCAGGTTGCTTTTCGAACCATTGGAGGTGGCATAACGAGGAAATTTAAGCAACCTTCTGCGCTCAGAAACCTTTCCACAAACGCCGCTCGAGGTAATTTTTACTTTTTACTTATACTGTGATTTCTGAAGTTCTTTTACCTAATGATTTGGCCGGAAATTTGTCAGGTTTATTGTTAAGACTGTTGCTCAAATGTGTTTCGGTTTAGATCTTGTTTGTCCGAGTTTTTGCGTGAAAAACCTCATGTTTAGTTGTTTAATTGGTTAATGTTCTTCGAGGCATGTTTTTACATCTTTCGTTTTTGATAATTGTAAACAGATTGTAGTTTCGATGATGAGGGAAAATCCAATTCGTTTGAGTCTGCTGATGACTTTGAACGTCGGATATTTGGTGGCGTATCTTTGGGCGATTCCGGAAACGATGCTTTCTTTGAGAAGCTTGATAGACTTGGTAAACCTCGTGAAAGGATCGGTTCAAGGCTGAGTGGTGGAAACAATTTTCAGGCGTTGTATGGTATTGAAGATAATCTTAACACGCTGTCGGATGGGATGGATGGCAAGTTGAAGAAAGCTTCTACGTATTTTGAGTTTGATCCTGAAGAAATAGCAAAAGATGATTATACTTTCAGAGCGGATATGTCCTTTAAACCTGGATCAACATACGAAATCAAGACCCGTAGCTGGGCAACTA